TATAGCTATATTTTGGGGCTGACCGGTCTAAAAAGGGCATTTTGAACATTTTTATGGATACTTCCTAAAAAGATCAACAAAAAGACATGACATCTTTTAAAGTACTAATGATCTTTTTATTGCTTTAAATATTTCTATAAAGGTTTACATGTGTGCTACAAGTTTTAGGATTTTTGAGCTGGGGTCTCCTACACCGTTACCATGGCAACGGAATAAAAATGTGTAATTTTCACGTATTTTTCACAAAACTTACATCATGACAACTTATTTATCTTATGACACTGGCTTATGATATTTGGCATGAAGGTGTATTACAATAAGACAGTGTATCTCATAAAAATTAAAATCGTCAAATTACCTTGACCTTTGAACTCAAGGTCACAATTCTTGATTTGTTTACATATTCTTATCTGGAGCACACAAGTGCTTGGCACTCAAGTGCAACACCTCAATATGATGTGTCGCGTATCATGGATGATGACCTTGATCTTTGACCTTCAAGGTAAAATTTTTAATTTTATATGTCACCCTTAAACCAAACATATTTTTTCTTGCCATGTCAATATGCAAATGAAGAGATGTGGACTGATTGCTTATGAGACAACTATCCACCACAGTTAAAATGAAGTGGTAGTAAGCAATTTATAGGCCACTGAACGTGCACGACCTTTGTAGTGCAGCTGAGGGTTTGTCCCTAGGGGCCATGCCCCGCCCCCTCATATAATAATGTTGTTATTTAGATTTATCTAAAAAAAAAGAACCCCATCCTTAATCCATATTTAATCTTAATTGCCTTTCTAGTTCTTCATGGGGGTGGGGGGGGGGGGGGGGTGGGGGCATGCCCTGCCCCGTACTTACCATTGATGGTAAAATAGCTTGAAATATGTTCATATCCCTACCTCTAATCATATATATATTCTCAATCAGCATGACAACACCTTTGAGTACCATATATGTTTTTGCTGTGGTTCGTGCCCCTTATATACAGCAGTTGTACGTAGAGCTGAGTAAAGCAAACAGAGTATCTAATAGAATGATTTCCAAAATATCGGAATTAAGAGGATTCATTTTCTTAAAGCGACGTGTAAAAGCGGTATTGTACTCTTTAGATTTGCTGTGTCAGCACATTTTTATCTGTTATCCAGGGTTTATTGCTTCTGCTTAATAAAACGATTTTTTTTGCTCGAAACCTCACTTCAACCTTTATACTTGTAAATAGATAAATAGATAAATAAATAACTAAGTATGATTTACCGGTTTTTATCTGTAAAATGAAAATGCGCAAAATGTAATCCAAAGCCACGCGCAAACGTTATGCACCGGAAGATACTGCATCTTTAAAAGCACTCAAAATTCATGGTCATTTTTATGGAATTATTAAAAAAAACACCATCAAAATGTATTGAATTTTTAGCGAAGTTGAAATAGATGTAACAAAACATTGTCTTTTATGTGCTTGCGAATGGTAATGTTGAAAACACTTTTGTTTAAATGAAGGAACATGAGTATGTATATACAGGACATTCTTCCGCTGTCAAACATCGAAGCTCATAGAAAAAAGACAGACGGAGAGAAATGAGATGCAAGTACACTTTTACCGGTACTTTCTCTTTCGTCATTTTGTTAATTAAACAGTAATGTGTGTTTGAGCAATTATTGTTAATCGTTTAAAGCTATTAGTATAAATCAGAACATTGATAATTTCATTTTGGTCATAGGGGGTCCTTTTATTGCTTACTATACGGTATGCGTTTTTTCTTATTGTTAGAGAACGTTTTAGGAGCAGTAGTTGATTGCCTTGTCCTATGGACTTTCGTGGATAGTCGTGTAATGGGCAATCATGCCACACCCTTTTCTCCTGAAATAAACTATATGAAAGATGTACTAGTATTACATATGACTAGAATATGATAATATTGGGTCCAATGTATGAAGAAAAAAAGATACGAGAGTTTACACCAATGTATTCATTGCATTAAGTTATACTTTCATATGTTTTCCCAGACCAACATATCAGTCGATACACATCCAACAGATTTAGTGTAAATACACAATAAACAGTCTGAAGATTCATGACCGTGTGTGATGCCAAAACAGAATTATCAACAGGTTATAGAACCATAAGTGTTCCTAAATATATAGCAATACATATTTAGATATATTTAATTTATCGAAAACAAAATAAATGTTAATAGTACCGATAAGTTATCACAATCTGAACCTAAAACGTCAACTTTATTAAAGTGTATATCTAATGTATTAAAAACATGTCAACTTTGCGGTCGGTACGATTTGCCCGAATTTTTTTGCACTAAATAGTACTTATGTTTCGAATAGCAGCAGTCCCATAAAGGAGCATTGAGCAACGTCATACAGGAAGTAATTGTTTGAACTATGTTCAGTTGTTTGTATCCAAACATGGTCTCCTTTTTCTACTTTACAGACAGTCACTCTAGTTGCTGGAATCGTACCGGCAGCTGAGCCAAGAGAAACTATTAGTCTATCAATTTTGACATTATCTACTCTAAGTTCAGAATACACAGCATCTGCACTATTCGTCAATGTTATCCAGGAGAACTGATATATTCCGGCGACTGGTGCTACAAATATTCCATCTCCAGAGTTGTAGTGATTTCCTACGTTGATTACAACATCATTGAACTTTACAATTGCGTATGTATTCAAGGTAATTGTTGATGACAGCCGTGCATAAAACACAACGTGGTTATCTGTGTATTTTTTCTGGTCTGCAATATAAATGAATAAATTTTTAAAATAGTTAAAAAACGAAGATACTTATGGGCATTCAAAAATTAAAAATCAAAATAGAAAAAGACAGTCGCTTAAATAACATAAAAAATTATGGTTAGTTATAAAAAAAAGCAATAGTCCAAAATACTACATAGAAAACACCAAATTAAGCCATTTTTTTTTTACCAGAAATGATATGATTATGAATTTAGATGCTTCCGAAAAGCAAGCAGTTCCTGCTCCAATAGTTGCAACCACAGCCTTCTAACACGCAGGTGTTAAGTCGCATTTGGGGATGGTCATACAAAAGTCAACATTGAAGAGTGAATTGAGGCTACAATATATGGAAGGTATTTGTGGTGATCTGTAATACATATTTATCATATATTTAGAATTAAAATGATTGTTTTTGCATATATGTAACGAGCGGAAGTAAACTAGCCCTAAATTCACACCCTGACTGATAACCCATTTCAGCCCTACGTAACGTCACATGGTCGGTCTGATATGGGGTTATCAGCCTGGGTGCGTTCGTACATTGGTAGTATATGATAAAAAAGATTAATACGTTTCGTTTTCCATATCAGCCTGTGTATTATCCCTCGGCCCATATCAGCACTCGACTAACGTCTCGGGATGATACCAGGGCCAATATAGTAAAGGCCATGTATCAATCTGTTTTTAATATACACGCAAATTTTACATATATTTTACCAAATGATGAGCTCTTAATAAATTTGTAAATACGTGCAACGTGCTTTTGAAAACGAATTATATTTTCATTCGACATGAATTATAGAAAGCAAATATTCTAAACACGCGTTATTTGTGCGTTTAACGTTTTCCTTTGTTGGTAAAACAAGTAATCAATATTTGGGGCAAATCGTACTGACCACAAAATACAAATTTAAAAAAAATATGATTAATATACTTTAATTAAGTTGACGTTCTAGGATCAGATTGTGATAACTTATCGTTACTATTAACATTGTAAAACATACGTGTCACTTTCCCCTGTGTAACAGTCAACCACATTATGAAACTTTCAGAAATGACTAAACTTGACCATAGCTCTGTAAGCAGAAATCCACTACCAAGACAAAAGACAGCCTTTATACAAACCCAGGTCCTTGAATATCGTATCAAATAGGCAATGCGTATTGTTGTCCATAACGTAGGTGATGAGTTTGATTTAGTGTTATGTCATTCCACTAAGAGCATATTTTTAGTTTTAAAACTAAAGACAATTTCTCTAAAAGTAAGGTATTCAAATACAATCTAAAATAATAATCTTATTTCAATGAGCACTACAAAAGTTTGGGTTTATTTATTCAAGTTACACCTTTAGGAATTATTGATAAAACATATTAGTTAACATAAAAACTTTACTATAAAAATAAGGAAATGTGGTATGATTGCCCATGACAAAATGAATGAGACAATTATTCACCAAAGTTCAAATAAAGTGGATGTAAGCAATTATAGGCAACCGTACGGCCTTCAACAATGAGAAAAACCCATACCGTACGGTCGGCTATAAAAGGCCCCAACATGAAAAATATCAAACAATTCAATTTGGAAAACTAACAGCCTAATTTATAACAAAACATTTACGAAAAGCAAATACGACATGGACCAACGACAATCACTAGATTACAGGCTCCCGGCTTGGGACAGGCACATATATAAAGACTGTGGCGGGGTTAAACACGTTTGTGAGCGCTCAATCCCCCTTAACATGGGACAGTGGTGTAATGGCACAACACAAGAACAAATAAGTTGAAAAGGGCTTTATTCATCAGATCGTTACAAAGAATATATCAAACAAAACCACAGACAGGACGTAGCAGGGTATTTATCCATCCCTCATCCCTAACAACAAAGAAGACACTAAGTATAGATCTGAGTGTACTTGCAGTTACTGACAGCTAGTTAAAAGCCATAACAAATAATAAAACAATAAAAAAAATCATGTATCTAAGACGTAAATATCAATCGGTACACATCAAACATCCAATAGATTTAGTGTAAAGACGTAACAGAAAAACTTAGACATTGTACTAGTATACGATTTTTAGTGGTTTTAGTTACTTATATTTTGTGGACTCCTTCTATTGTCTGATTTTCTTCGAATAAGGTATTTTGTTATAAATCGAGAAAGGAGATTTACAGCTTTAGTCTTATGTATCTGATTCTACAATAAAAGCAACAAAAAATAACCCGAAAGATATAATTATGATAAATAGTACCTTTTGAAATATCCTGATTAGAACGTGTCAGATTCCTCATCTGAACTTGTAATGACTCAATAGTCTGCTCTAAAATCTCCAATTTGGCTTCTTCAGAAGTGACATTTTGAATAGATTTCATAAATGTCTCATGAACAACAAGAAAGAATATAAAAACTTTAATAAGCAACATTCTCCCAAATCAACAATATTAAAGAAATCAACAGTTTAATTGTTGCACTGTGCAATATTTCTTCTTCACTTTGAATGTTCTTGAAATAATTCGATTCTCAACAAAATGATATTTTAAGATTGTTAAACTATGTCAGGGACGACTTTTTATTTAACCGAGAAAACTTTGCCAAAACTTTCAACTTTTAAATTCTTCATTTCTTTACCCTTTTCATCCCGTAGTATAATTTGCTATGTACAATGGATTCTTTCTTCAGACAAACTATATGTTTTTTAATTGGTTTTGAAGTAAAGTTGTGTCAAGACATTGCATTGCCGTAAATATTTATATTAAATGTCTACATTTTTTTGCATGAATACAATTATTCTGGAAAATGGTAAGATTTTAAAGTGGACAGTAAATACGCTCACACAAACGCATTTATATACCCCTTAAAAAAAAGAAGAAAACAAACAAACCTAGAAAGTCTAAGGAACTATAATCGCTCACTACTTATAGGTATAACATAAATATAACATCAGCTTTATTTCGGAAATGAGATAATAAAAGGAAAATATCTGAAATTATACTAGTTGCAATCGAAAAAAAACACTAAAAAAATGAGGAGTTGTGGTATGATTGCCGATAAAACATTATTTGATAAAAAACAAAAACCAGACAAAAACCAACGACAATAACTGAATTACAGGTTTACTGACTTGGGACTGGAACATAAGATGTGCGGAGTTAATTAAAAATTTTTGTGAGCGCTCCATCCTCCCCTAATGTTAGAAATTAGTATAACAGCAGAACATTAGCACAAACTATAATATTAAGTTTGACTCTCAACAGATTGGTACAAAGCAAAAAAAATAATATATATAAATATATATATATATATATATATATATATATATATATATAAAGTGTGATTCATAACAAATCATCTATTAGGGACGCTATAATTGATAATATGAGTACCTACAACCAGTTGATACACAATATTGCGAAAACTTGCGTGTATAGAATTAGATGTTGCCAAGGAGAACATTTACAGCTTTAATCATCTCATCACAATGCCAGTTAGTATATGCAGTACATTTTTCATTACAGAATAAGACTTTATGCATCAAATAAATCTGTAGTTTTATTTTTCAAAGGACGATATTATATAATAAGTAAACTTGTGTTTGATAAGATTGTGTGGAAGTGTAAGGTACAAAGTCGAAAAGTCATAACTGCTAAGCGAATTGAACGGACCATCAAAAGTACGTAATTCATCCAAATATTTCAAAGAGTTTTGGACACTCTAAAAAATATTTATTTTTGGAATGTGTTATACAAATATCCATAATATTCAGACGTTTATTCCAAAAAGAATTAACTGACTTTGTCACTGTCGTTTACGCCAATATTTACAATAGACGGAGTGGATCCCATTGTAATAACCTGACAAAAGTCCTTCCTATTTATTTTCAATGGCGGATGATATTTTGGTGCTTTCTTCCGAAAGGTTTTTAATTGTCTGTCTTAACCGATCTTGAGTTCCCTTGTATTTAAAAAGAAATCGTTTCTAAACTTCGATGGTTCATAGTTGAAGGTACATTCTCAAAACTTCCGATACGAATCGACATCAGATAATCCATGAACCAATGTAATGTTTGCCGAATACAGGAATACATGTACATAGTATGTGCCTGTCCCAAGTCAGGAGCCTGTAATATTAGATCACATAATAACATATGATTGTAAGGGAGGTAACAATGAAGGATTTAAAATTGTCCCCCATGAAATAATGTCCACCGGACATTATTTCATTGTAAATACTGTCCATGGATAATATTTACTTATTTTAATGTGTCCCGGACACAATTTCCTATGAAAATATGTCCTCAGGTATGAAAAAGTGTTCATGAACATGGACATTATTTAATACTATAATTCTGTCCAGGTGGACATTTTTTCACAGGAAATTATGTCCTCCAGGACATTTTTCGATATGATTAAAGTATTAAATGATATCCATTGCCTTGTTATTACTGGACGTATTTTAACCTATAATTGCTAACTTTAATACATTGTTACTTTGACAGAGAGTTGTCTCATTGGCAATCATACCATCCTTATTTTCTTATTGGTATTTTTTTAATATATATACATGTTTAATGATTTAAATTCAAACACTTAGGGGACAATATTTCATGGCAATGGACATTTTTAATACCAAAATTCAATATTTTCTTTTGTCATCCTCTCATAATAAATATAGTAAAGTTCTTCACATTTGATATTATACTTTACACATTTCCTTCTTATTGTTCTTCTTTCATTGTCATTAGCATTAGCTGGGTATTTCTTATAACTTAAATGTCTCTATATTTACTTCCATCCATTATTTATTTGTTTACATTTGTATATTAATCAATTTCTAATCAATCGTTCAGATTTTATCAAAATTCAAGTATAATAAAACTTTTCAATGACCTTTGTATTTATACTTTCCTTGGAGGACACAATTTAATAGCAACTACTATGAAAACTTGTCCTGTGGGTGGACACTATCTCATAACTTTTGCAGTAAGCATATGTCCACTTTAGGGACAATATTTGATGGCAATGGACATCATTTAATACCAAAATTCTATGAAAAACTGTCCGGGTGGACACTTTTTCACAGGACACTATTATGAATGATGTCAACTCGATCGATGTTCAACATTCAATCATTAAAAATATGTTACTTCTAACTCCGATGATCCAGGAAATATTCATTTATATGTGATAGTAAAAACTTAAACAACGATTTCTGAAGGTTGAACTATTTCCGCGTTATCAAATGTTTTATAGAGTTTTCAATTTCTCCAACACCTGTTCATTCATCCTGAGAGCCGATTGATATAGGTTTTGACCTCTCAACTTAACCAATCATCTACTAAGATCATCGACACTCACACGTAAATGTTTTTATACAATGGGTCCAGAAAGGGTTAAATAGCCAAAAGGTTAGAGAAAAGTTTATACTAAACATGTTCAGCACAATTGTACAAAAGGGTCAACCTTTAGATTTTGTGTGTTATTAATGTATAATATGGGGACTTGTTATTTTGTATTAATTTCAGCCTAATTCCTCAACTTTAATTTTGTCAGACCGCTCCTTAACCGTCCCTAAAACAGATAGATCCTCATAATTTACCCAAATGTAGCATATATGTTTATATTTTTAGGTAACCATGCTATGGATGACAACCTCTTGACTCGATATTCGACTGCATATTTAGTCTGAAAAACATATACCTGTGACGTATACATTTTGCGTGGTAATGGACTGAGATCACGGACGATTTGCATTTGCAGGTTGAAGGAGCATTTTGTTAATATACTGACGTCTGATGTTAAAGTATCAATATCTTTGGAGTTTGAGAAATAAAAGATGTATATAAAGGTTATCAGAGTACAGAATTACCTCGTCAAGTAAAACAATAGACAGCGTGACGAACTAATAAAAGGTTTGATCAGGATTTAAAACATGAAAAGATAGGAATTTGAATACTGCCTGATATTGCGTGTATGTTATTATAGTTTTAAAGGGATACGAAAGAAGTTTTTTTTTCTCGGAAAAACATATTTCGCACCTAATATAACCATCAACAGGCTAACAAAATGGCAGGTAAAAAATAACTTTAATTTATATATTCTTATAAAGCCTAAACCATAGCGTAATAAAGTTTTTATTTCATATTATAAATTTTCTTTTCACATGGAAAATATATATCAAAAATAAATTCACATCAATATAGTTGAGATCAGTTGACACATGAAGATAACATACGTGTACATTTAAAACGGAAGAGTAGAATTTAGGTATTTATATATTCGACATAGATAAACCGATATTTTCAATACATTTTTAAAGAATATTTGACATAATAGAAAAATCCTAGTTTTACATTACAAAACAATAGTAAATTTTGGGATATCATGTTTCATATGTGCAGACACTTTCAGATTGTTTTTTCCCTTAATTTTGAAAACACACGTTGGTATAGTGGATCATTTGGTAATCACGTTAAAAGTTACTACGGAACTCTTTTTCTTAAAAAAAAACCTTACTGCCATGACTGCATTCAATATAATAAGTGTGTAATGATATACCTTTTATTAGGTTTCATTTTAAGGGTGTATCCAAGAAGAATGTATTTCTTCATATCCATGACTGCAAAGAGAAATAATTTATTTCGAATGGTTTATGATGTAAATGAATAATGATACTCTATTTCGGAACCTTTATGTGACAGAATAAATTCCTGATTAAATGGGAACACACTGAAACTGTGAATGACCTCAGAAAAAAGAAATACCTACTCGTTCGATTTTCTCGCCCTGCTCATGAATCCTTACTAATACAACCAATTTATTTTTCAAAACCTGACTACTACGAACCGCTATATACTTAAAGAGTGTATCAGAAATATTCATTACTACGATCACTTCATCATGTAGTATCCTACAATGGTATAAAGTGTCATAAATATATGTCAAACCGTTTAAGAGGAGTTCCGTTTACAAGCAATGCATATGCTCAGATGGAATGCCAAATAGACAGACAGACAAACGGACGGACGGACGGGTGGATAGTGAATCCAAAACTTTGACGGTATGCGGATGGGGGGATTACTATGATAATATATATTTTTTTCTTTTTGATTGGGAAATGTGTAATACTCAGTTATATTAAGATTTAAAAAAAGACCAGAGTTAAAAAGAAACAAGTAATGACACAATTAAGTAAACTGAAAAAAGTAAAATAACAAAAATACCGAACTCCAAGGAAAATTCAAAGCGGAAAGTCCTTTATCAAATGGCAAAATCAAAAGCTCAAACACATCAATCGAATGGAAAACAACTGATTTACCTCAGCTAAAGTGTTAAATGTTGATTTACCTCAGCTAAAGTGTTAAATGTTGATTTACCTCAGCTAAAGTGTTAAATGTTAACCGAACAAGAAAACGTCAAACGTTGGCAAGAGATCGAAGGGCCAAAATCAGACGAAAAGAGTTATCCAAAGACAACAGAGCATATTTTAAACATACGACATGTCAAACTCAATCTAAAAACTTAGCCATACTATCCATTCAGAGTTCATATTACTGACAAATTTCTTGTTGAATGGCACACAATAGAAAATATAGTGTGAAGAACATTATTATAGTACGCATTACTTTGTGATTGCATTACAATGGATATATCTGTATGTTTAATCGATGTTTCCTGTTAAATTAGTTTTATGATAATATTTTATTCACAGTTTTCATTTTATGTTACTCATTACAGACACTATAACACCAACTATATCATTAGCACTATATCGTTATCTGTGTCAACATATAGTAGGAACAGAAGATCATGTTAAACGAATCAGAATGATGAACGCTGTTAAGGATCGTATGGACAGTACCAAAAATATAACATTTATAACAAGTGGAAGCTTTGGAGAAGGACTTCAGATGCGAGGCAGTGATTTAGACGTAATGTATCTAGATACAAGGTTCGAGGTTTTCGAAGATGTAAAACCTCGCTTTAATCCAAATAAAATATATTTTTCAATGGAAAGAGACGATGTAAAACCTGGTTATACTCAGTTAAGACTGGAATATATCACAAGTCAGCATAATGGGGAAAATTATTATTCGAGTGCATTATATAAACAACATTTCATTTTTGATGAAGGTTTAACGATTCATGGACCGTGTATAACTGACGAATACGAACAAACGGACACTGCATTTTGTTTTCATTGTAAAACATGGGTATCAACTGCAGTACAATGGATAACAAGGTCAAGTAACGCATGGCCGAGCCATAATGTCAAAGAAAATGTTATAAAACACGGAGTAATTTTGGTACCGATCGGAGTAAAGGGGTCACCAAAAGAAGATCTAGAATGGCGAGTGTCTTTTTCAGTTGGCGAAAAACTTTTGATAAATACCTTTACACACACTCAATTACTGTGCTATGTTCTTTTAAAAATTATTTTGAAAGATGTAATAGCTACTTACTCTGATTGTAAAGATTTACTTTGTTCTTATTTCATGAAAACAATAATTTTCTGGATATCTGAAGAACTGCCACAATACGTATGGAAACCTGATAATTTTATACCTTGTTTTATGCGATGTTTCAGTAGGCTGGTTTATTGTGTTGAACACTCAGTTTGCTTGCATTACTTCATTCCAGAGAACAACATGTTCGAGAACAAAATAGAGGGTCGCGGTCGTAAAATACTTTTAGAAAAATTGTATATGTTGTATAGCTATGGATGGCGATGCATCTTATTTTCAGATCAAATATCTAACTTTCATGGAAGCAGGTGGACTTTCCACATCGAAACACATAAATTATATGTAAATGACGTTGAGAAAATACTAGACTCGAACTTTTTGTTTTTAGCAAATTTTGCCTTTAAAACTCGTACTGTAAACTTGGAATCGATACTCAAGAACGGAATATTACAGATCATGATGTGTCCACAATCTTCAATAAAAGATTTATATAAGCACTACATGTCAATGTGTTTTAGTGCACGTGCTCAGATTATACCACTGGAGAGTACATTCAGCAATAATAAATATCGATACAAACAATACAAATCCTGTCTTAGTACTCTGCTACTAAATGTCTATCACGACGCCGTATCTGGATGGCTGATGGTAGCCTCCCTTTTCTATAAAACAAAACAATACAGAAAAGCTTTACACATCATCGGATATTCTATATCAAAATGTACTCCAGAAAAACTGCACCACCACATGACTATGGCTGATATCCATTACAAATGGTTAAAACTGCAATCATTCCAGAGAAAGAGTTTAGTTTACCTACAAAAAAATATGCTTGTAGATTTTGTTTCATTTGTAATGAATTCAACGATAATTCCAGATGAACTTGGAATGGAAGAATCGATGTTTCCATCTACAGCATATGCTTATTTCCTTAATTGTCTTTGTCATTATCATATCAATAATGTTAGACAATGTCAGGATTCCCTTCAATATTTACAACTGACTATAGAAGAAAAACATTTAATGCCACAAATTTTGTTACGAGCAGAAGCTTACAATTTGTTAGGAATTGCTTTACAGCTATTAGGCGACACTGATTCCGCACGGCAAGCATTCTTACAATCTGCTGAATTATGCTAGCACCAATTGGAAAATTATGCCTTCGGGACGCTTTTGTTTATGAGTTATTTCTGACATCGCATTCGGGTGAATTATCGAAGTTATGACGTTTATGTATTTTGTCTAGTTTTCAAAGTTCTATGTATGCAAATAGGTTCAATATATGTCTGTAACTTGAACAAAAGTGATATAAGATAGAGCTACATACATGTAACCACATAATAAAGAAATCTCAGAACTATATTATACATTGTATATAAAAAGGACAACCTTATTGCTTTATTAGCATTAACATGTTAAAGGGGCATTAACTACGAGATATAAAAAAATCTGAAATATGATATTTTTTGTTGTTCAATCTTTAATGAAAGTGAAATAGTGAAATAATAATTCGCTTTTAGCAGCCAGCTTGGTTCAATTTTGTCAAAATAAGCAAAGAAACATTGCTGATGAATTATTCACTTGCAAGTGAATAAATCGACCTCATTGAATCCGTATTCATGTGACCTTCAGTTTAACCCCTTAGCTAGAGTTGGGTCACGCATGAATTAGGCGTGTTCAGTTATTGAAAGGAAAAGAATGTCAACATTGAAAGTGAAAAAAAGGGAAAACCATTTGATTGACTGATTTGATCAACAAAAACTCATTCTTATACAGGTAAACACGATGATTAAGACATATTTGTAACCTATAATATGAAATCATATAGACCTAGAAAAATCCAATTGCACGAGTTCGCTGTCTATTGATATCTATATTTATATTTACATCGGGTTATATGACCGTCGGCAATCTTCGGAGGTCACCTCGATGGTTAATTAGATGGCGTCTAAGACTATAATACACACGAATTCCTGATACATATTATCGATTCCATGCATTGTAAATTGTTTATTTTAGACTTTTTATAACTTGGATATACGTTTTAGTATGTTATAATTCAAATATGAGAATTTGAGTCAAATCGGGATCATGAATTTGACAGCTAATGCCCCTTTCAAAAGTGAGTGAGTGTCTCTTCAGTAATGCTCGATGCCTAAATATTCGACGAACTCAATACATAAAAAAAAACGTTGAACAGCCGATCAAACTGAAAACTGACCAAAAGAATAGCCAATTCCGGACAAGTTGATTAAACAATTGCATTTCAAATAGAAAAGACTATCATATTAAGACTATAATTGGTTTTTATTTTCTTTGCATTCCCTCTGTAAGTATGGTATGCAGTTGGGTTCCTGTGTTGTTTGTTTTTTTGTTTGTTTTTACGTTAATCGGTCTCTGATGCAGACCAGGTTTGTTTTCCCAAAAGAGTTGCATCCAATCAAATATATTTACGCAAGAATATCAGTTTAAGCCATGATAGTCATACATTTTTCTAACGAAAAATAAGTTTGAGCACAAACGACGCGTAATTTCCTTCTATTTAACAAAAATTTAAATCAAGATTTTTTCAAATGCAAGAGTTAAAACTTCGGGTTTTTTTTCAAACTGTTCTGAGTTTTGCAAGGAAAGTATGAACAACACAGACTGCATTCTGGTCTTTTATCACTTACTTTTTGATTTTATTATTTCAATTCAGTGAAGGACAACAAAACATATTCATAAATGACTCCCGAAAGATATAATTACATTGATAAAATAAAACCCTTTTTAAATTCGATGCTAATTTTCCGTTCTGTTCATTCTGCAATAATCTCGCAGGTTGATACGATATTCCAGGGCTTGTATTTCCTATCATGGTTACCTTGAAGATGATTGCTGCTCACAAGGAAGCTAGTAATATGGCAAGACGTTTTACTATTTGTTCTAACCTTAAGATATTTAATAAACCTTATAAGATATCTCATGCAGTTTATAAGATATCTTATACAACAGAACAGAACATTGCGTTGTCAGTTTATTTTCGACTTATGATAAAATTGAGAATGGAAATGGGGAATGTGTCAAAGAGACAACAACCCGACCAAAGAGCAGAAAACAGCAGAAGGCCACCAATGGGTCTTCAACAAAGCGAGAAAATCAATATTAATACCAAAATATGCCATCTTTAATGACCTGACAACCGTATCGTAACTATATCCTTTCTGAATAAGTCTGTTTAAAGGTTTAGTAAGCTTTTGATGTGAGTGCTGACATTTTTTTGTGCTTTATATAGAATATTACCATAAAAGATTGGATGTGAAATACCTGAACGTATAAGGTGTTTGCATGTTGATTTATATTTACGAATGATGTCCTTGTACCGATGATAAAATTTAGTAAATGTTTTGACTAGTTTGTGAAATCAAAAACCCTGGTGTAATAATTTTTCAGTAATACAGAGATTTCTTTCGTTAAAATCAAATACGTTGTTACATACACGAGCGAATCGAACAAGTTGAGATATATAAACACCATAAGATGGTGACAAGGGAACGTCACCATCTAAAAATGGATAATTAACTTTGGTGGGTTAATTTATTTATTTATTAATGAAATGCACATTTATACCCCGAGGGGTTGAAGGCATATAAATAGTACAATACAAATATATTCACAATGCAAAAATTATAACATACTAAACATCATATATAGCAGTAGGAAAAAAATGATAATATCTATGCAGGTGTTGTGTCCACTCTCCTCAGTGCAAATGACATTTTAATGAACGGAACAGTAAGCTGCATAATATCAAATGAAGATAAAAGTAATTTTATTCTATCTGTTTCATACAATTTAAAGAATTGAGGACAAATATTATTTACGTCTTTTCAAGATAATTACGAAATGATTTATTAATTTTAAATGTTAAGAAAAAGTGGATTTCATCTTCAACCTCATTAATATTACAATGTTTACATATTCTATTTTCTCTTTGAATTCTTTTATAGCTACCCCTCTCTATTTCCAAAAAATGGTCACTTACTTGCATTTTACATAATATTTTTCGATTTTCAAAATTATTTTTAAGAATGTATTTGTCTATTTCATATTTTGTCTTAATTTTACTGTACAAGAACATTTTACTTGTTTCATTTTAATTTTTCAAAGAATATATTTTCAAAGCTATCTTTTAGTTCTTTTTTAATTTTTCTGGAGAATGAACTCTTCTCTTGTTTATAGTTTATATCCTGTATTTTATTTATGTCTATTTTATTTGTATTGGCTATATTTTCTGCATATGAGAACCATGAAAAAGTACCGTTTGTGCTAAGCCATTTAGATAAACAGAAAGCATCATATAATAAAGGGTTATTTTCATCACTGGATATTCTTGCTAAGTATTTCAAAGATTGTAATTTAATAAAGACATCTATGGGATACTGGGCTAGTTCTGCTCAAGCAGCTATATTGACAGATTGTTTACTAAGCCCCAGTACATATTTGCAAAATTCTAAATGTGTCTTCTCCACTTGGCTACTATCAATCATAGCTAAAAGATCAAATTTACTCATGTCTTTATTTTGTGCTCGTCTATCAGCTCTTATAAATTTTTTCATAAAAACCCATAAACCAAATTTCAGAGTTATACATGAGAATGGGTTTAACTAGGGATTCAAACAATTTTTTGTTTAGTTTTATAGACACATTTTCTAATTGAGAAAGACACTTGAACATAGAAAACATAACTTTAGTACCTTTCTTAGCCCGTTCAATGTGTGATGAAGTTAATTTCCCAGACGCTTCAATTATATTTCCAAGATATTTATATTTTCAAACCTTTTCTAGTTTGTCACCATTTAAGTAAAAATCATATTTATTATATAACATAATCTTCTGTTGAAAAACCATTACTTTAGTTTTGTGTGTATTTATTGTGAGCTGCCACTTATTACAAAAAGAGTTTTGTTTATCTATAGAGTTCTGTAGACCTTCAGGAGTTTCAGATAATAATAGAATGTCATCTGCAAACATAAGGCAGTTCATTGACATTTTTTGCAGAGTCACTGGTTTACAGTTTTCATCAAATATTTCTGGTAGATCATTTATATAAACATAAAATAAGTTTGGACTCATATTATCCCCTTGTTTCACTCCTCTAACAATAGAGACATATTCAGATATATTCTCTTTTGATTTCACTGAAGCTTCAGTATTCATATACATATTTTGTTATCAAATTATAAAATTTCACACCAATATTCTCATTTTTTGTTATTATACTAGTATAAAAAAACCTAACCTCCACACTGAATCAAAAGCCTTTTTTAGGTCTACAAAACATCCATAAATCTTTTTCTTTTTATGATTTATATATTTATTATAAACAGAGTTTTTACAATAAAGACACCATCTGAAGTCCTACTGTTCTTCTTAAAGCCTAGTTGATGGTGGCATATATTATTTTCAAATAAAGTAAGTAACCTACAATTTATAACCATAATAATTTACTCAGACAGCTCATCACAGAAATTCTTCTGTAGTTTGAAGGATTTAGATGATCCCCACTTTTAAATATACGAACTATAAATGATTTATTCCAATTTTCAGGATAAAGAGAGGTAGATAATATAAGGTTAAAATATTTATCTACTGCTGTTAAAATTACAGAACTACTATGTTTTATAATTTCATAACAAATTTTATCTGGTCCACAACTTTTCCCAATCTTTTAATTTGTGTTTTTATTTCAGATATAGTTATTGGTGTATCACTATCTTTTGAAGTTAGCAACTTCTCTGTTTTACACAATTCTTCGAAAATAGTGTTCTCGAAATTTTTATTAATCTTTTAAGGTTTACCCTGATTTTTAAAGTGATCTGCAAACTGACTTAAATCCAGCATACTATCATCATTCTTGTCCTTATTATTTTTGATTGTTCTTAATAGCTTTCAAAATTCTTTGCTTTCATTTGGTGACATTTTGTCTAATTTGTTCAAAATATTTAGTTTAAATTCTATTTTTTAAGTTTAGAATAGCATAATTTAATTTCAACAACAAAATGATGGGTATTCAGTTAAAAAAAAAAAGAAAGAACCTGCTTTTTTTTTTATTTCCGTAGTTATTATCCACGAATTAGTTTTTTTTTAATGGAAATTCTAAGCTAATATAATTTCCTTGCTTTTCTCTTATTTCACTAAAGGTACATAAAGTTGACTCATTTTTATACCAGTGTATTAAGCTTTTTAAATACCAAAAAATAGATCGAGCTACAAGTGCTTAATCGTTTTTCCTAAGTTTAACGAGAACTCATTTAAATTGATATTCTATGTGTCCGACTAAAAGCTACCGCATTTACACATTTTATTACACCTAAGGTTAT